GCAGAGAACTGACACTGAAGATTATAAGCTTCTTATATTATATCTTATAATCATTGAATTGATAAAGAATGAAATGATCTACAATCTTTCAATCTGACTACTTTTGAAATTCATTGATAAGTTATAGAAGAGAGATGTCTCTACTGCAGCTTGAATTCAGAAGTTAAAGAAGAAAGAATCTGATTTAAACTTGAAAGAGACAGACTCTGAGTGAGATAATACTGCTAAGAAATCAAGTTACTGATAACTAGAAGAATGTAAACTTCTACTGCTAAATAGTTCAGTCTTCATCTCTTATAGTAGAGTGATATGTCAGAAGTTATTGAGAATTCATTATAATAATCTTCATACAGAGCACTTTGAGTTAAAGAAGACTGAGAAGCTTCTAAAATATAAATACATTTAAGACAAGCTTTAAGCAGATATTAAAGAGTATATTGAAATTTGTAATATCTGTCAAAGAATAAAGATTCTGTAGTATAAGTAATACAGTGAGTTAATATCACTGCCTGTTCTAAAGAGCTTATAACAGAATCTATTAATAAATTTCATAGTTGATCTACTAAAGTTGACAAGAGTTAAAGAATATAACTCAATTTTAATTATTATTAACTGCTTTATAAAGATAATCAGATATATCTCTACTTATAAAAAGATTAAAGCCTCTGAATTGACTGACCTGTTTTTAAATATTATTATTCATGATCATGATGCTCTGAAATCATTGATAACAGATTGAGAATTTCTCTTCATCAGTAAATACTAATCAGCTTTTTACTATTATCTTATAATAAGATGTCTTCTCAGTACTGCATTTCATTCACAGACTGATGATCAGACTGAACATCAGAATCAGACACTAGAACAGTATTTTTAAGTATTCTATTTATATTATCAGAATGATTGACTTAAATATCTTCTAATCACTGAATTTATATATAACAATGTAAAGAATATAATCTTAAAGATATCTTCTTTCTATACTTATTATGAATATAATTCTTCATTACTCAGTGATGTCATGAATGACATTTCAAAGAGAGAAATAGACAGTCAGAATATTAAATAGATACAGAGAATAAAGTATCTCTCAATACTAGAAGTAAAAGCAAGATTGAAACTTTTAAATAAAATTTATAAGAAGATGATGAAAAGTATTCACTGTGCTCAGAAGTGATAGATGAAATACTATAATTGAAAACATCTTTCAATGAAGTTCTTGATAGAAGATTAAGTGCTACTTTCAGTAAAGAATATCAAGATAATGAGACTGTGTAAGAAGCTCAGTGAGTGATAACTAGAATCTTTTCTGATAATAAGAGTAATGAATAAGTAGACATATAAGTTGAAATTACTTACAGAATTGAAATCAATTTATTCTGTTTTTCACATTTTTTATTTAAAGCTCTATAAGTAATATCTCAGAGTGAAGCTGTCTCAGCTGAATAGTATTGAGATTAAGAGTGATATTAAATATCTTATAAAGAAAATATTGAATAAGTGAATATATTACAGCAAGCTTTAATATCTTATTAAATAAGAAGAATATTCATTATCAGAGAATTTATAAGAATCACTTAAGTATTTGAAAAATGCTGAGAAAGAGATTGTAAGCTATGAGATGACTAGTAGAGACTATTCTATTACATACTAGAGACATTGAGTAAGAAATATCACTTAAAAACTTCTCATTTTTCTCAAAGAGTTTTTTAGAGATAATTTCACAGTAATGAGTCAGTGTCTTATAGACTCTGTAACACTCTTCTTCTATTTTCTCTTAAAGAGTTTTTTAGAAGTTTAATAAGATTACACAAGTGTAAAATTTCTGAAGCAGTTAATAAGAAAAGAAAGAGATATTTGAAATTAATAAAAAGATTAATATTAATTAATCTGCAGATCACTGCTAATCTAATAAGGTCACAGCTTATTGAAAAAGTAAAAAGAGAGAATCTCAGAGTCTACTTACTAATAATCATATTCTTATCAAACTCATTCTTTACTGTTAAAGTCTCTGACATCAGTATCTTTGTCTACTGAGAAGTTAGCACTGCAGCACTATAGAAGAGCAGAAGAAATGCATGAAATATTAACTTATTAACTTATAAAGTATCTCAGTTATCTGCTTTAATTGAAGTGAGATTCTCTTCAATCAGTGATTGATCTTTGTAGTACTTTTAACAGTAATATCAGCTGATCTCTTCTTAAAGTCAGTCATTCTGAGATATTTTTTCATCTCAGAGACTCATGCTTTCATCTCTTTTTATAGATAAGTAAGAAAGATCTTCTCAGTCTTGATAAAATCTGTCAATGCTTAAAGCTCTGAGACTCTTACTCTGTACTGCTTAAGTATCTAGACTTCTTATCAGAGCTGATATAACATCTTTCTATAGAATAATACTTATAGAGAGATAGAAGTTATTGTTACAGATGTAATAAAAATAACAGAAGTGAGAGAAGAGATGAATATATAAAATTCTCTCTTTCTTCAGCTACTTAGTGCAGTGCAGACAAGTAGTAATATCAGTCAGAGACTGTATCAGAGCCTTCTCACAGAGAGAAGATAAAGAAACTGCAGAACTCTGCAGACTCAACTCAGCAGTATCTTAAGCAGAGCTCAGATATGTCACAGAAGAGAAACTACAGATTGAGCTTCTCAGAGTCACTGTTTCTGAAATCAAGCTCTTCTCAGAGTTCTCTCTGAATGACTACACAGGGTTATATGTCACTGTGTTGATTGAGAGAAAAGGCAGTGTTGCAATGATAGTGAGAAGAGCAGAGAACAGACTGAATGCAGATGCACTAACTGACAGAAGAAATAACATCTCACTGCAAGGCACAGCAACTATCATCACAGTCATAAGAGAAGCAGAAGAAGATGTGACAATAGAAGCAGTGCTCTCACAGCTCATTAACACTGTCATCTTCAATCTGACTTTCTTAACAGTCATAGAGGCCGCAGCTGCATCACAAAGACATTTATTACTCACTAGAAAATGTCAGAATAAGTCCCTTATTATCTCTCAAGAATGATGCTTTCATGCACTCACTATTGCAGATAAGAGAGAGGGAGAAAAATGTGTCACAGAGAAGAAAATCTTTTCAAAAAAATCCTATCACTACTGTTAACTTTGTCTCTAAAATACATTACTTTTGCAGAGAATTTTATACATAGAATGAAATATATTGAAAGATCTGTAAGTAAACTGACCGTGTGACCGTGTCTGAGACCAGGACCAGAATTTTTGATAGTCTCATTGCCAATTCGACAGATCTCATTACACAGTTCTAACATTAGATAGTAGTTTCATACTGTTTCAGTGAGACTTACTGTCTACTCTTGTCACATTTTTCAAATGAGACCATGATTTTCACTTCTCAATTTAAATTATTTTTATTGCTTTAAATGACTTTAAATCTCATTTGAGCATTATCAAAAAGTGTTACTTTTTAAAAAATTAAAAATAGTTAAAAAAAAACCTTAAAATGTCTAAAAATAGTAACTTTATATCAAGAATGAGACTAAATGAGATCAAATGAGATCACTTTCTCATTTTTTTCAAGTCATGATTTCATTTTGAGATCTGATATATAGTCACTTTACATGTTTATTTAATGATTAGTCTCAGTGGGATTCACGCCAAGAAATGTATGAGATCAGACCAAATGAGACCAAACATGAAATTCATGGTCCCGGCGGCCAGTCTATCTGTAAGTCACTTATTAACTACATTTTTCATATTTTAAATTAATATATAAGGAACTCACTTATCATGTATTTGATTTGAATAAAGATGAGAAAAGAAAGATCTACACAGTCAGCAGAATAACTTATCTATTTCTTTATACAGTATATATACTGTTAATCAGTTAATAACTGTTATTATACAATAAAGATAATTTCTAATCTGATAATCTTGAGAGTATCAGAACTATGCTCTTAAAGAGAAGAGTATTATTATACTCTCAGTCATATCAAGACTCTGTTACAGTTTCACACAGCTTATCACTTTCATGTAAATAATTTTATCTTATCTAAACTGGTTTTCAATTACTCTATGACATTATTCAGATATATCATAGAAAGATTTAATTGATGAATATAAGAATCTTACTTCTATATAAGATTAGCAGATTACTCTTTCTTAACAATGAGATACTGCTGAGATATCACTTCAGCTATTCTTGCTTATGAAATGAGAGAAGAGTATTCACTCATTGTCTATATAAAATAGCTAGATGCTAACTTCTTATTAAAGAAGTTAGTAATTCATTTTTCTTCTACTGAAATATATATAAGAGTTACTGTATATCTCATACAATTTTCTTAGTATACTAAGTATCATATCTGTGATATTCTTGCAATAACTCTGTAGTCTACAAGCTCACTATTCAAGCAAGATAGTCAAGCTCACTTATACAGCTTTTTAAACAACTACTTCTATGTGATACTGTTAACTAGCCACTGCTTCAGTTTCATTATATTACAATCTTTAAGACTATATTCTCTTTTCTTTTATCATAATATTTTCAAATGATTTCAAACTATCAGAAGGTGTTGAAATACTGTAATTTATAAACAGTTTTTGTATTCTGAGCTGAAATTTTCTGATTTTGCATATTTGAAATTGATAAATGTATAATAGTTGACTCTATAGATATAGGAAAAACTCTGAGAACTAAAGATTCTCAGATAAATATCATAGTCTCTGACTGTATACATCTATAATTGAAGAATAATAATAATAATAATAAGAGTCTTTCTGAAAAAGATGAACTACTCTATTGATGCAACATTTTAAAAAGAAAAACATGTTATTTAGGCTATAATCTGTAGAATAGTTGAAGGTTGTATTGATAGAGCTATCTACAAAGAGCTTAATATAGTGGTTGGTCACGTGATGTAGGGAGATCGCCACACAGGCAATAGCCGCAACGGCCGCAACGGCCAACAGAAGGCCATTACTGCAAACCTTTTCTGTTAGCTCATTCTCGTTTAGTTATTTAACTGCTCTAGTTAACTATTCAAAACCTCTTCCCAATCCCTAGTCGTACCGATGTTGGTTTGTTTTTCATATTTCCTTATCTCATAGATCATAGATTGGGATTAGGCCTAGCCCTCAGTACACCTAAAATATCATTTTCATGTTTCTCATCTCGTTTCTTCGTTTAACTTTTCGTATAGCCGCGCTGTCGGCTTCGCCTTGCCAGGCTGAGCGTTCAGAGTCCCCTAATCCCATATCCAATTATTATTCGGATCGCTCATTAAATTCCTCCATAGATGAACGAGCAAATTGATATACACTCTCCACGTGGTGAGAAATAGTATCATGCAAGTCTCCGCAGGTTGCAGTAATATCCACAAGCTGTGGTCAATTCCAGAATATGGATGTCAGGATTTCTCCACGGGCGCAAAGTAATTATGAACAGTCCATATCACTAATAACTATTCCGAGTTACTCAAAGCAAATGGCCAAGATACAGCCAAAGTGTGATGCCATATTCTCCATAACCCACCAGTACAGTACCCACCCCTCTGCATTTTCCAGGGACCGTCCCATTAAATCAGCAGGGCGCAACAATACCATACCTGAAACTCAAACCTCTTTCTTTCACAGAAGGCTCACCTGGATGTGGAACGATTCTAAAGAGATTTTTACTTATTTGACCAGAAAATAGGACCACCTACTCCGAACGTACGTTCCAAATCCAAAAGATCTCAAACGGTTATTTTTTTACCGAATCCATCGTGAAGTTGACCTCGGCCTAGTTTGTTATAACAAAGTGCATGATACATGAACTAATCAAAAAGCGCAGGAACCCCGCCTGGGGCATAATCGGGTCTGATTTAGTGTTGCGCGCTCTGGGAATGAACCTATATTTCAGCATACTGCACGTCTTTCAGTGACCTAGTTACTTCGCGATGTTTATGCTAAATTCTAACGAATACATCTTGAAAAGCTTTACATAGCATTTTCATCACCGATTGAAGCCTGGCTCGGGCAGTTCTCTCACTGGCTATCTTGTTGCGGGAAAACGACCCAGGAGGCGTTGATCAAGGGCAAGGCCGAGACGTTTTCCTACGAGAGATGCCGTGTAGCGATAACCATGGCGCAACATGGGCCAAGGTCTGGACGCCATTTTTAGACACACATTGATCCCTGATGGTGATGCAGATGCTCTTGCGGTTGAGCGGGTGTTGTCATGGTTTTGGCTCCGAAGCCTGGAAGAGGAACAGCAGACGCGTCTTCGGCTCTTGTGAAGTTTTGATTTTCCTGCCGTACCTCCCTCGAAGCCATCCATTCCTTTGTCACTGGAGCATGTCTAGCCAAGGTAACGCCTGTCAAGATCCGCCTGATTACACCCTATCTCTCTTCTCGTATTACGATATTGTTTCCTCTAGATCTTGCCGTTTGTTGTTGGAACTGCTCATTGCCAACTCCTACATGCCGTATTGAACCCTGACTTACGAAACAATTTCAGGGTACCAGCTGTCGATGCCGGAGCATTTCAGGATTGGCATGCTTTGGCAGTGGGAACCTTTATATTTCGGGTACTCTACCCGGAAGCGGATCGACTCGGTTTTTATTTCCCATGCGAGATTCATGGTTCTCATGACTATTGAATGGCTGCTTCATCACCGATTCAGCATGTCTGACTCTGTTCTACCCATTACTTTATTCAGATCAGACGGACTGGACATTTTGGTGCGTATTCTAGTGACTACTAATTACAATCAACAGCGTGATGTCTCGCTAAAACACTTATTACACCATTAACTTAAACCCAATATGATAGCGTTTTACTCAGAATTAATAGTCTTTGCGCATCATGTGCATGCATCCAACCTCGATCTTGCACCAAGTTTTATCGAGCGAGCGTTCCATCAACATCCGGAATTCACTCGCGAATCAAGCCCTATTCGCGATTGTATATTGACCAAATACATTATTAGGAGAGCGTGCCTGGAGCAACTATATCCCGCCGTCTTTAGCAATAATTTGATAGTACGTCTTGTTTGCCTTGTTCCGATGCTTCCTTATAAGGTTATACAGGTACTCCTCCGTCCAACCCAGCTGTCAACAGCGGCTGATCGCATGAGTAACATCGCTGTACTTCATGATACAGCTTATAAGTTGCTAAGAAGAACCAGTACTCTACAGCAGAAGCTTTCTGCTTGTGAAACGTCGTTTAAGTTCATGGGAATACTGCTTTGAAAGAGATGACCTGAGGGCCACCATACCTTTAAATGAAACTCTTCTCTCTTAACATTCTTGGGTGAGAGCGCGCAGAACTGATATACTTTGCTCAGGTGATGCCAATAAAACCCATTTAGTTCCCTGCCTTTCACTACTAGTGAGTTCACACTCTAAGGCTTTTTGCATACCAACGAACACTTTAATGATCGACGCATGACATCTGTGTGGTACGGGCAAACCCGCTCTCCCAAGTACTTCGAAACGGGGCCAATAATGACATTCTATCACCCAAGTCATCATATGCGCCCAGATATAGGATGGGATGGAAGAAATGGAGTTAAATGAGAAAAAGAAAAAAAAAAAAGGGTGGCAGAACTTGACAGCCACCTAACATATGGTCAATGATACGACAACTACGAGATCTCTTTCTATTCGCCAACGTCTTTTTGGCATCCTTGATCAATACTTCTACAGCACTTGGATACATCATGGGATGATGGCGACGCCAAATGACTTCACTCAAGACATCCAACACCCGTCCTCCTCGTTCTACTTCTAATCCTGCTAACTCCGGAATTACCCATTGTACAGCCGGATTTATAGAGCAGTCTAGAAGGCCCGAAACTGTCTCGTCATTCCAATGATTATCATTTGCTGTGATTCACTGGTTTATAATAGGCCTTTCTAAGGTCTTTCTTCTACCCTGATGATTCTGAATAGTATCTTCCGCAACTCGGTACGGCGACACTTCACAGGCACAATCATCGCCAAATAGGTTTCCTGAACGGCCCAACCAAACTGACAATGCGGATCAGAACACATTCCAAGCTTATCAGGGATTCCCCTTGGTTCTCACATTGCTTGCCCCGTTACTTTCGCTTAGTATCTTGGGAGTATACAACACGGTTGCTCACTTGCGTCCTTGCCATTACCCGCAAAATCCTTTCACGAACGTCTAAGAATCACGTCCTGCCTCTCTGGACGGCCAAAACTCGGAATCGCAGCCTTCCTCACCGTGGATTGTATGTACATGATGTACCCCTGCGTCAGTCCGTGTATTCTCAGTGGAGTGATCTCTGCTCCTGCACCAAGCCATTTCGCCAAAAGCCGCCCTGTGGACATAGAACAAAGCCGTCCTTATGCTACCACTCCCTTTTCAACGAGCAGTCATTAGGCTTTGACCAAGCGGGGTTATGGACATCCGGTGTGGCCGAAAATTTCTTGTCCTCTTATTACCTTGCGCCGCGATTCTCTCATACCAAACTGCCTTACAGTCTTGCTAACATCGAGGACGAGAATCAACATTTCTGTCTCGGAACTTGAGTGACCAGGTGTATTCATTAACGCCCCTATTTCACAACTGGTGGATGGCAGCATCCCTTACCATCCCAATGCAAGATTTCGCTCTTCCGTATCCAATCCCCATAGCCTTTCCTCCATGGCTTTTGCTGAAGATCAACGGACATGTCCATTTGATGTTAACCGCATTCACATTTCGAGCCCATGACCTAGGCTCGTATAAAATTGTAACCCCATCTACAGCTTTGTCTTCCTAACGACTCTAAGTTTCAAGATGTACCGCCCTCAATTCGGATATACCCCGTCTAATAGGCCATACTCCTAATAATCCAAGTTCAGGGCGCCGCACGTATAACGTATACTTTGCACCATGCCTAATCCCGCCAGTCGTCTCCCGCTTTATCTCCGTTGGCAGACTCAATGGAGTTCCCATGGTCAACCCCTCATCCAGCACATCTCACACGCTGAAGTTTACCACCTTCGCCCCCATAGATGATCTGGACTGTATATTTACTGTAACTCAGGATTGTACAATGGAACTACAACTATATATGTACCTACATCCGCTCTGGTTCAGCGGCCTGGGATATACTCATTCGCCTTCCCATTTATCTCGAGGTTTCCCATTTCTCTACTGCCCCTTGGCTCCTCAGTCCAGTCCTCTAAGCTCCTGTATACCTTGCTCATTTTACTTCCTCTTTAATTGAAGAGCAGGCCATTCAACTCCTCCTGCATTTGCTTGGACGTAATTCCCATTAGCGGATCCCTTACGTTTGTTCTCATCGTCGTTCACAAACTTGCCACCATCCAAATTCAAAGACAATTGAAGGCCGGATATCATCGGCCACTTCTCAACATGTTGCCCGGTTGTGATCCCGAGGGACTGCTACCCCCGACATCGCTGAACGCGGACTTAGCTACGATGGCCACTAAGTTAATGGTGTGCCAGAACTTAACCGAAATACTTGAGTCATCCGCTCGTTACTGTAACGCACCTATAGAATTCCACCATGCAGATTTCACAATCCCATCCAAAGTTCTGACTACACGACAGCTCCGGTACCAAGCTCATGAAAATGCCCAACTCATTCGTGATATCCACAATGTTACGGAGGATACCATAGTGTTGATCCATTTCGATAATCATGAGCAGAATATTATATGGCTCTGGTCTACTGTGATAGGCGGCTATCTGCCTGCAATGTCACCGGCATTTGTGAACGATCTTGCTCAGCGGCGAAAACATATTTTGCACCTCAATTCACTGTTCAAAGTGCCCCTTATTCTTACGTCGGATCGGTTAGTTCACGAGTTTCTGAATATCGACGGGCTTCACATTGTCACTGTCGAACGCCTCGTAAACAAGCTACGCAGTGGCGTCAGCCGTGTTCCCAGGACAAACTTCGGCCACCAAAAGGAACCAGAGGATGCGGCCATCCTCATGCTCACGTCGGGCAGCACTGGAAACGCAAAGGCTGCAGTTCTGAGGAACAATCAGATTAAAGCTGCTCTGGCGGGAAAGGTAGCTCATCATGGTACAGAAAAAGGTGATGTTTTCCTAGGCTGGGTCGCCCTAGACCACGTTGCATCACTTTGCCAAATTCATTTGCATGCCCTTGCTCTGGGTGCCAGGCAGATTTTCGTTGACAAAGCGGATGTTGCAAACGACCCCCTGCGTTTCTTGAACCTCATCCACAACCTTCGAGTCAGCGTGACTTTCGGTCCAAACTTCTTCTTGACAGCGTTGTCAAATCTACTCGACAAAATGCAGCCTTCTACGGCAATAACCAGAGATTGGGATTTGTCATGCTTGAAGGTGATATTTTCAGGAGGCGAAGCGAATACCGTCCAGACTTGCATCAGTGCCATGGCACATTTGGAAACATTGGGTGCCAGGAAAAACGTTGTGAGCCCAGGATTTGGGATGACTGAAACCTGCGCAGGTTCAATGCATAACCTCTCCTGCCCAGATTATGATATCAAAATGGGTTTGGAATTTACCTCCGTGGGTCCATGTATTCCGGGCTTAGCTGCCAGGGTTGCTGGCGACAACGGTCTTGTCATCAAAAGTCCCAATGTTCCCGGTGCTCTGCAGATCAAGGGCGAATGTGTGCTTAAAGAATATTTTAACGACCCGTTTGCAACATCTATCAGCTTTACCAGAGACGGGTGGTTTATTACAGGAGATACGGCTCTCATCGATGATGCTGGCTATGTACGCCTCTGCGGTCGAACAAAGGATCTCATAATAGTAAACGGAGTTAATTACTATCCCCACGAGCTTGAACGTGCTATTGAAGAAGCTAAACTTCCTGGATTGACCCCTACGTATACAGTCGTGTTCTCTCATCGTCCCGACGGGGCTTCGACTGAAAGGGTCGTGGTAGTGTTCTCCCCGGCTCATGGTTATACGAATGCCGCAAGTCTCACAGTGTCATTCGATGCGATCTCAAAGATCACAGCCAGGCTATTCGGGGTAAGTCCGTACCAAATAGTACCGGTTGCCGCAACCTTAATCCCAAAGTCGACGCTTGGAAAGATCTCATCGCCGAAAATCGCGGCAGAATATCGCGCCGGGGGATACGATACTTATTATGCGGAGGCAGCAGAAGCCATTAAATTATATCGCCAAACCAATCTAAGGAGGCCTGAAAGTGAAACTCAGAAGTCAATCGCTGATTTATTCGCGGAGATGTTCCACACCCCATCTTCTGAAATTGGAATTGACACCAGCCTCCTAGATATGGGAGTTTCTTCCATTGAACTTTTCGCCTTTAAATCAAACGTACACAGGATTCTCTGTCTGGATCAGGAAATCCCATTGATATCTGTGTTAATGGACCCTACAATCCATGGCATTGCAACGGCGATACAAGAAATGCAGCAACCAAAACAGTATAATCCCGTTGTTAAGCTCCATGCATCTGGCGAAAAGCCGCCTCTTTGGCTTGTACATCCCGGTGTTGGCGAGGTCTTAGTTTTCTTGAACCTCGCCAAGTATATCAACGACCGCCCGCTATATGCACTTCGCGCTCGAGGATTTGAAGAAGGGGAGGAGTTTTTCAAAGACCTCCCTGAAATATTTACAACGTACTTTCAACACATCAAAACTACTCAGCCTCTTGGACCATATGCAATCGCGGGATATTCTTTTGGCGCCATGATTGCCTTCGAAGTCGCGAAACTCCTCGAAGCCGATGGCGATGAGGTCAGGTTCTTAGGCTCTTTCAATCTACCACCACATATCAAAGACCGCATGCGCCAGCTCGACTGGGTGGAAGCTGGCATCAACCTCTCGTACTTCTTAGATCTAATATCAGAGGAGTATGCCCACGAAATATCGCCTAAATTACATGAGCTCTCTAACGATGATGCCCTCGATCACCTTATGTCCCATGCTTCCCAGGGCCGCCTAGCGGAGCTCTCTCTAACTAAAAGTAAAATGAAAACTTGGATTACGCTTGCCCACAAGATGCAGGAAGCCGCATTAGAGTACGAACCTTCTGGGTCAGCGGCAAGCATTGACGTATTTCACGCGATACCCCTGAAGCAAGTCGCAGTGAACGGAACCGATTGGATCGAGAATAAATTGAGCAAATGGGCAGATTTCTCGCGGGAGCCGCCCCGAATGCATCATGTGGACGGTGCGCACTATACAATGATGTCGCCAGAGCATGTCTTTACGTTTCAAAAAACTCTTCAAAAGGCTCTGCGCGAACGTGGACTTTGAGATATGCTGCCGATGCATGAATGACAGGGGCCATTCCTACAGATGGTCACTGTTAATAAACACGAAGTCTGACAGCATTCTTCTGCCTATACTTTGGGACACACCGCCCCTGTCTATGTTTAGCTTTTCTTTCTTCTCGTGAATATATTTATGTTTTTATGTATCTTCAGTGGTTGATGATTAATCGACTAAATCTGATATTTGTTTCTGGCTTCAAGCATCTATTCATCCCCACCGCCCAGATTCCCCTATTCCTCACCAGCCAATCTTCTCATGTTCCTCTCCTTTTCCGTAATTTACTCTTCTAATGTTCAATGCATATGCCTTCTTATTGAACTTATTATTCACTGAGACATCAAATTGTTTACTGAACAAGTGGAAGCATTGAAATGGCGGACAGGAGGGTCTCTCCTACATCCCTCGGAGGCCTCGCTTTTTAAATCTGTCATTTAATATAATTGGCTACTCTTTGATAATGTCGATCCTTCACAATCAGCCTAATTGACTCCCAGCTCTCCCTATTTCCTTTGTCCACGATCCTGAGGTCAGAATCTAATTTTTATTCACTTTCATTCATCTTTTACTCTAATGGGTAACTTAACATACTTGTTAACAAGCCAGATAGCTACTCAAATCACATTCACAACGACTATCAGCAAATAGCCAGAATGCATGAAGATATCATACCGAAGTAAGAATAAATTCTTAATTTAGCAAAGGGAATCTCGCGACATTCAACAGGAAAAGGAGATAATGGTCGCCAATGCCAAATAAGGTCCAGGAGAATATATTTCTTCCTTTAGTTAGAATGCTATATCACCAATGTCTCACAGTAACCAACACTTTTTCCTTCGAAGGAACATTCTCTCCGCTCTCAAGCTGCGGTGTGCTACGATCCAATCTATGGAGCAAGCGCCAAACAACCTTCTGATTCAAGCCCTCGCGCACTGGGATTTTCTCCAGTGCATCTGTACCGTTGAAGTATTTAGTGAAAAGCGGCCAATATTTCTGAAGCGAAGAATCGGCATCGATGCTCTCCTCTGGTGATGGAGCGTTGTAGCTATCCATGCTGGCAAGCTGGGAGGAGGGTTCTGGGAATCGCGAGAGAATTTCGTCCAGCCAATGAGACTCTAGGGATGATGCGCGGTGCGGTCGCAGTATAAGAGAAGAACTATACAGCCGCCCTTTTTGTTTTTGAGTTTCAGTATATTTGTCGTAGTTGTATTGCTGGTTTGAAATCCTGTTTGGGACGGGGGTTGCTTCGCCGCTGTCTTCGCTCTCAAGAGATGACGAAGATGAAGATTCAGCATCGTCGTTGTCGTCATGGCCGTCATCATCGACGGGCTTACTATCAATTTTAGAATCTGCTTTGGTGGAAGATGCTGCACGCACTCTCTCTTCAAGTTCTTTCTCTTCTTTCTCCCTTTCTAGTGCCTCATCCACCGCTTGTTTGATCTCTGGGTCTACTCTGACCCATCCAAACGTTCGGAGTTGAGTAACCCAACCCCCTCTCAGTAGCCATGCCAGAATCGCGTAATATATCTCCTTATGGTCCTTGCTGGGTATTAATCTAGAATATGGTTTAGGGGTATCGCTCAAAGCGTGGAGCATCTTCGGAAGGCTGGGTAGTGTTGGGAATGCAGCTTCGTAAGCCTCAGCTGCCTGCGCAAGCTTGCTCATGTCGGCGTTGGGGGAAACGATATATGTATCCCGTTGGCTCAGTGGAGGCACGGCTCGGGCTCTCCGCCAGTAGACAAGGTGGCTGGCAAGCACTTGGATGTCACTCAAAGGAATTCCGGAGAGGGCAGATATTTGGGCAAATGATTTGGTTGGTTTAGAGACACGAATATAGTGTGCAAGTCGTGCGCCTAGAGGCCCAATTGACCCTTCAATGTCTTTTAGAATCGTTGCTTCGTCAGTTAGGAGAAGCAACGCAAAATGTTTTGCTAGAACCTGGTTGGGTTCGCTTGTTTCCATGCCTGTAGCTTCATCGGTAGCGGAGAGACTATCCGCAGTGGTAAGCCATAAACCGGGGTAGGCCTTTTCCGTGGCACTTGGAAGATAAGAAGTAGAAGTTAAGGGTGGAGCCTGAAGAGACATCGTTGCTTCAGGTGTGAGTGTAACCGATGCGATTCTAGAGTTAGAAATACTTGTATAGACTGTAGATATTGCTCGAGCAAGGGAAGATTTCGAGTGTAGTTCCGAATAGAGTCTGGACAGTGACATTTCTGTGTTTGAGTGTAAGCATAACAATCTCGAATCCATTTCAAGATGTAGCATGCGACATAAACGACATTTAATATCGGATACATACTGCTTTCTTTCGCTTTCTCCTTGATATTGACAATCGTCCGAGCCTCTTTCCAAACGTAGTCTACCCTTGCCTGTTCCGACTTTAATCCTTTGCCAAACTTCTTAATCACGTTCTCATACTTCTCCCGCACTCGCAAACCATATTCTAGCAGAGGTGGGTTCAATACAAAAACTACATTGAACATCGTCATCGAATCCTTATCAGTTTCTGGAGACCCAGGAGGTACGGGATCTTGAACGATGTTTTGGTCTTCCGCAACAGGGTCATTGTCGTCTTCTGTTTCCGACGGTTGTTTTATATCGTTCTTCTGATCACCGTTCTCTTTATCGTCATCCCCTAGTTCCTGGCGCTCCCCGGACGGCCGTTGCTTTCTAACTTTCTTCTTCTTCTTCTTCTTCTTCCGTTTCCTCCAGGTCCCATCTTCCCTCACAAACACAGGCCATCCCACAAATACAAGGTCGTTAAGACCCACTTCAAATCTCCGCTTATGCCATGATGGGGGTGGGCTTAGCAATTTCTCCCACACATTGGTCGGCAGTCCCAGTAAAGATTCCCACGGTGGTTGGTAAAAGTGTCCTAGATCTTCCCCTCTTCCCGGATCCGGCTGGTTATCCTGCTTAGGGTCGGGCGTCACACTTCTTCGCTTGAACTGCACGGAAGAGGAGACACTATGCCCCCTAGCAGATGGTGCATGGGAATTTTTATCACCCAGTTTTTCACTCAGTCCACCCTTCCCGATGTGCTCGCTGACTCCTTGACTAAGGGAATTACCGCCAGCTGAGGAATGACCGCGTTCGTCCTCCTCGTCGTCAGAGCTTGACCAATCGTCATCGCTGGATGGGCTAGACTCAGAGCTTTTAGCACCGCCTTTACGGCGCGAATTGCGGCGGGATTTGCTGCCTATGATAGTGGATGGGTTGGGAGGGTAGTGATAGACAAAGCGCGGACCAGCGCGAGATTGGATGATGAGGATTATAGCAACCAGACATGGATCTGGAGGTCGTACGATTGAAGACATTTGTGTCTACATTATACGGTTAGAAGAAGTCAAGGCTGGTTTGATGTGTCGGTTGCGGTGATGGCTGGAAGCAAGCCAGTGTTGTTTTAAAGTGGCTCAATAAATTGGGGGTTGAATTTGATCGAAATCCCATGCCATCACATATGCAAATGAAATTGCTTCTCTTACCAAACTCAAACAAAATCCAGACAATTCTTGAGACAGAACCCACTCTATCCCCCTCCTATGCTACGGGAGGACAGTATTATAGCGCGAATGACGTCTATTGAAGCTCCAAGCATGGATTACATAATCTACACTTGGACCTGCTACTGAAGTCACGTGTAACACATTCTGTATATAAGAGAACCTCTTACACGTCTCAAAACAGTGATTTTGACTACATGGAGGCACCTAGGAGTATTGACTAATTCGACATGGTTGTATTAATGAGACGCTGTGATAGAGATACTCCCATATCTAACATATGATTTTGCTCAACACCACGTCTGTCGGACTGTACCTGGCTTGGTGATGATGGCCTCGAGGCTACGCTCAACGATGTTAGTAACCTAACGACGTCCCACCCGTACTCCGAGAAACTGTCAGGGACAATTAAGTTAGAGTAAAGGGCAGTTTAAGCGCCTTAGACTTATGGCTGACTCTCGGCAAGCACTGTCTCTATCCCGGGGAATGAAGGCATGTGGCGTATAATGCGGCCACGAAGGCACATTCGGATGAGCGCAAATTGGCGTATTGCAGAAATATGATTTCGAATATGTCCAATGAAAATGATATATCATACAAAAGCGGAGTTTTTCATCTCGATCTAAATTTCTTTAGACGCAACAAGTCGTAAACTCCAAAAGGAAAAAAAAAAAAAAAAAAAAAAAAAAAAAAAAGCAATGGCAATGCCAACAACGCCACTGATGTCTTATATACAAAATACAACGCGGAATGTAACCGCTTCCGTCTCTAATATATAGCATAGTATAAAACGATGTCACGATTTCTTACTCTCCGGAGTCCCGCTCTCAAGAGTCTTGCTGTCCGAAGATGCCGTGGAACTAGCGGCTTCCGTGCCATTTTTTTTCTGGCCTTCATCAAAGACAAGTCCCAAGTTCTCAAAATTGTCCGGCGCCATCAGATTGCTAAGGTCATGTGTCAGTCTTCCAGATGGTGAAATACATAAACACCCTGCGCACCAAAAGGGGGGTTGAAACGTGATAAACATACTTTTCCATCCGGCAGGTTAAGTAGGATTTGGCTAGCTTGCGACAGTGCTCATCATTGACACCCCCTTCTTTCCTCAGACACTTGAGATATGATGAGATTATGTATTTGCATTCTCCTATCAGTCAGATATGCATAGCGTCAGTAACAGGCATATCAGTAATTGTGCATGTGCGGATATATCGGGAATAATTTTTCCAAAAAATCCACAAGCGGGAACAAAAAACGTACCATCGTGATCGAGCGGAAAACTTCCTCGTTCAGGCCTAAATCAGCAGTAACAACACGAATTAGCAAGATTATCTCATCACACGCAGATATTAGAACTTAGAGCAAGCTTCATATATATATATATCCTTTTTCAGGCGCGGATATTGGCGCTGGGAATTGAAAGCCAGGGCGACATACGGTGTAGGTTTGATATTGGCGGCACGACCGCCGGGACCGCCAAAACTCATGTTCAAGAAAGATATATAGAACGGTATTTTTTATTTGCGCATATGATATATGCAGGTAATGGGAAATGCAAAAAATGGATAAAGAATAGAAAGATATAAAACTGATTGTTGTTGAACTACGGATTCATTGCAAGTAATCTTGCCGGGTATTGCTTGTGCAAACAGTGCAAACAGCGCAGCATGCGCGAGACGGAAGAAAGCCGTTCTCGTGGCCTCCTGACCAATGAAATTCCGCTGGTCGTCTAGTTGGTTTATGGCACTGGACTGTAATATCTTGTCTGCTATCCAGGTGTCGTCGGTTCGACTCCGACCCAGCGGAGTTAATTTTATCTTTTCTGTTTTTGAACTTTTTGGCTGTTTGTTTTCATTGTTTTTGTTTGCCTCAAGGGTTCTGTCAAATTTTTCCAAAGTTCCTACCCTACCTGCTATTCAGTAATATATAAATCCGGCGTAGTATGGTGTACAGAGTACACCCCGATCAATACTATATACAGAGTAGACCGTCGTCCACTAAAGAAAACTTGAGTGGAAACGCAGAAGAGAGCAACTGAGAGCATTGATGTAAAAGGGAAAGAAAAAAAGAAGGAAGAGATATTTAAATGCGAAACACAATGGAAAAAGAGGAAAGAGAAGTGAAAAGGAAAAAAAAAAAAAAAAAAATGTAGGCAAAAAGAAACAATCCTCCGCTGGGTCGGAGTCGAACCGACGACACCTGGATAGCAGACAAGATATTACAGTCCAGTGCCATAAACCAACTAGACGACCAGCGGCTGATAATTGGAAGTCTCTGAGCCCCAAAGAACTTATATTCCTGATCACTTGTGCTGACCTTAAAATAGTCGAACAGGGGATTTTACATGCTGGATGAAATTCTCTTTGAAATAAAATAATTATACAATTGCGTTATTTCTACATACATGATCTAGCTCTCCATAGTTAGTTACAGCCTTCCGTAACTCAGGGTTAAGTCGTGCCGCTCTATCATAGTCCTGATGATTCTACCCCTCCCTACGACGTCAGTATAGCATCATATGTTTCCAATATATTAGACGGGGAGAAGGAATTATTATTCAGCATCCTGAAATGATCCTGATCCGGCGCATTGCATCAAGATATTTCCTCACCACGGGGTTCAATTTACATTTCAAAAAAGACTCACAGCAGGATCTCCGCACTCTATCTACAAAAAACGCATTTTAGGGTTCCATAGCAGTTGTTGATCGAATATGCCGATGTGTGTACCATAATTTGTTTCTTTTAATAGTAGCTATGCATATGTTCATTGTTATAATTCAACCTGGCGTACACTACAAAGAGATCGACTTATCTAATGAATTCCTCGGCCAAATGAAAAAAAAAAATAGGAAACTCGACGGAAGCTGCCAATGCGGCGGCGTACAATTTACCCTCAACTCGCAGACGCCAGTCCCATATCAGCTATGCGCCTGCAGCATTTGCCGTAAGGTGGGTGGGTACAGTGGCAGCGTGAACCTGGGCGGCATTGCCGACTCGCTCAATGTGCTTCAGGGGAAGGAGTTGATTAGGTAGGTGTTTTACCTATGCCGTCTCCCTCCCAGTCTACACTTCACAGAGGTATTGATATACCCTACTACACCTGCTGTACAAACTTATCTAACAAAACCCCCGCGCCCCTCCCAGGAAATACACCGCCGTAAAAGACCGCGGCACCCCGCACGAGGAGCCCTGCTCCTCCGAGCGTAGCTTCTGCTCAAACTGTAGCACCATGCTGTGGGTCTGGGACAAGCACTGGCCGCAGCTGATCCACCCGTTCGCCGCGGCGATTGATACCGACCTGCCCGTGCCGGAGGAGATGGTGTGTATACTGGCGGACTCGAAGCCGAAGTGGGTGCGCTGGCCGGAGGGGAAGAAGAGTGTGTTTGAGAAGTTTGGTGGGGAGAGTTTGGAGGGTTATCATAAGAAGAATGGGTTGTGGGTGGAGTGAGTTGGAGGGAGGGAAAGAGGGTGGACATGGGTTGACTGGTTACGGTACGGTACGGTACTAAGGGAAGTGTGGTTTAGAGGGAAATTTGGAGATGGATATATTAACATTTGTTGATTATGATATAAAATTGGTGGCTATCTAATGTGTATATATATGGGCCTCTGCTATGCCGTTCAAAATCAAATGCCGGAGGGAGAAGTCCTAAGTATTAAGCTTATTCGTAAATGTTAGCAAGGCAATTGGTATTTTCGAAGGGTATAGCGAAAAAGACGTCGAAAGGATGGTGAAAAGGGTATCAGGTCTCCAAGATGATAGTTGTCCTCAAAGTCAAGACTCGGGAAGAACACAGCGAAATAATTGAGTTCATCAGGTGGTTTTCAAACGAAAAGGAAACTGGAGGCACTGCCAGAAAAAGACAAAGGTAACATACCCGTCCAATCATGAAATAGTCTACATTACTGATAGTCCCTAGAATCACATCGAAGTGAATTAGCGATGGGCCAATACAAAAACCAAGGTAATAAATATCTCGACAGATATTCCAAAAACAAATCCATGGCGTATCGTCTAATCTCAGGCTTTGAGCCTACACGTCAGCTAAAATGTCCAAACTAACAGGTATGTACAATGAACGGAAGGATTATATTATTTTAGACATACCTCATTAAATCAGAATTTTCAGTGTAAGTACGTTCATATCCCAAACACAATGGTGCCGGGTTCAAACAGTGTGAATAATACTCATCATAAAAGAGACGACAGCCGCTAGGGCGAAGACCCAGGAAAACGGAAACGGGGGGTTATCTTCATTGCGAATAGGGAGTATTGAATTTACCTAGAGAGTTTGCAGTGTTAGTTGTATCTCCACTTTCATAACTAATACCAGCGGCACGCGAGGCAAAAAGGCGGTGTCATAAAAATAATCAGCTGACGAATTCTCAACAAGCGATCCGACGACTCCAGCACCCAGCAGAGTTTGTACGCTCAGCATGTAATGGATGAGGAGCGACGGATGCAGATCTGTCCGCCCGTTCGTTCAAGTATTCTTCATAAGAATGGCATGACCCAAGGTACAAGGGTACAAGGCAATTTTATCCAAGAGGAAAAAATGAGACAATTTCACAAAAGCATACCTAAAGCCCGGAAAAAAACGTTGTTAGCAACGTTGCTTAGAACGGGTGGATATATGTCAAACGCTCAAAGAAAAGTGTTGGATTGAGAGTTGTAAATCAGACAAGGCTGAAACTTGTAAATTGACAGTTTCCACATGATAACTTAAGTTTGAGGAATGCCTTTGCATGTCGTAGGGTCATCATATAAGGGGAGGGAGGGATTGATAGCAGAGAAAGATGGTTTCCCAGGGTGGAGGATAATGCCTCAACAACGTACCTTTTACAAATTGGTTTATTTTCAATGATCACACCAAAGTCAAGATATCTATCAACATTGAGATGACGAGAGATACTGGAACAGATTTCCTAGACGAAGACAGGTCAGTCAATCAGCGATGTCCAAGAACGTAGCGAATAAATGGGCAGCTGCGTAGTAGATCAGAGAGGTTTACCAATAGCAATATTGGCATCCGTCACGATGAATAGGATTTGGATTGTTCATGTTGTAAGGAAAGTCATCACATAAGAGGGAAGAATAGAAAAAAGATGGAGAAAGGCTGCAAGATTCTTACCTAGCTAAAATGGAAAACATGGCAAAGACAACCTTGGAAAGTCCATGGCATTGTAAAGAGCATTATTCCCAATCCATAGTCCTCTAGCTCTGGAAGAAAGTTTTCATTGGAGCTTTTCTGATGTGCAGCTGTTGGTAACTATTTGTTGTGCGGAGAGAAGAAATGCTTCGGTTGTGAAAAAAAAAATCGGAAGAATTTATGGAAGAACGCTAGGCTACGGGAGGCCGGTACGAGCCAAACGCGCACTCGAATGCCACTACGGAGTACACAAATAGTGTATTGATTCTCTCCCCCCTACTCTTCGCACTCCCAATCCTCCAGTGCAAATCATACCGTCACAAACCTGAGTATAAACAAAATCCAAGGGATAGCTATTGTCCCATCGATGGCTACCCCAAGTGCGCTCAGTTTCGGCAAATACAAATGACAACGTCCAGGACCAGGCAAGAATGTTCACTGGAAGAGAGAAATCCTTATCGCCAAGTCGAAGATCATACAATACACCTTCGTGATCAAACCTTGCGTTTCAGAATGTTCGTTCCCCCCACCCAGCCTAGCCTCCTTTCGCTGTGCATATCACATCAGAACCATCCGCTTTTTTAACCCTGAATATTCGGAAAGGGGCATTCGCTAGTATCGACCCAGCCCATAGAAAGGAGGGGGAAGGGGTGGGAGGAATATGAAGCCAAAATGAGTGCAAGGGGAGTCGGGAAGATGCGAAAAAGGGGTGGGTGAGGTACTGGAAAGACCTCGGAGAAGCACGGGAGTATTTTCTTATTGTTTTTTTCTATTCCTTTATTTTCTTATTTAAAAAAGCATCGCGGTCACGTTTGCCCATGATCTAGCCCTTCATCTCCCGCAAATAAAATATTAGGACATAGCAAACGTGACGAAAAACGGAGGACTGTCAACCAGATACCCCAGTGGTATAAAAATCGCCTGGGACATCAAATACCATCTTCAGCCCTCTCTTCCTCCCCCCCCCTCTGCTGGAGAGGTACGGTATAAAATAAAAAAAAAGGAAAAAAAAAAAAAAAAAAATTCAAGCCCATTTTTTAAGACAAAAGTAGAACAAAGAGTTCAAGGGATATCACAGAAGATTAATTAGAGCAAGAAAGAAAAAAGAGAGCCAGCTGCGACTCCCCAACCATTCCCGAACCGCCATATCGTCTCGTCTCATCTCAGCAACAACAACCCGCTTACAACATAACTGCAAGACCCAGCACACCCGCAGCGCCAACCAGGCTGCCCATCATGGCACCGGTTGGCCTGGCAGCTGGTGCGTGGTTCCCAGACTCGTCGGCAGTGGGAGTGGGGGGGGTGGTGGGAGTTGGGGGGCGGGTAGTAGCCAACTCAGCGGCCTTGGAACTGAGGAAGTTCCTGGCGCTGTCTGGCAGGCCGGTGAACCAGGCTGGCAGGCTGCCGTCGTTGAATTCACTGACGAGGGAGCTGAAGTAGCCCTGGATGTTGCCGTCGGTGGGCCTGGGGATGGCGGTTCCGAGGGCTGAAGCGACTTGGGGCGGGATGCTGCCGACGGCGGTTATCGTGCTGCCGAACTCGCCCTGGAGCCTGGTGGCGATGGAGTTGCTGTTGTTGAGGGAGATGGTTAGTTTTGTGCGGTCTTCTTTATTCTTTTCCTCGTTTTGTTTGTTGATTTATTTGTTGCAAACGTGGTTATGATGTGTTGTACTGTACATACATCTGATCCTCAAGATTACGCTTCTCAACGGCCTCGTCCGCAACGACGCAAGTGGCAGCCAGGGCCAGGATGGAGAAGAATTTGAATTGCATGGTTATTTAGAAGGTATTGAGTTGTGGTTTGTAGGCGGAACGTAAGACGAAATGCGTAGAATATGGATGGGAAATAAATTGACCTTGAGTGGGAAGACAGACAATATAGCAGAAAACACCAAGAACAAATGGGGGGGTTCGTATATATATATCTATAACGGAGGAGTGGAAAATTAAGTATTTGCACACGCTAGTAATTTAAGTGGTAAACAGATTACCACTCCTTGTGTGCGGTTTAGGGGTGGTTCCGGGCTCTATTGACACCTATTGTGCCTATGACTCAGCTGGCTGGGCACTATTGCATGCCTATATTTTAGGGTCTAAGCACCGCACATTACAGGTGCGGACCGGCACAATTTGAATCCGGTACTGGAATTTCAATATAAATTTCTAGCGTTTTCACAGCAACCCGATTCGCCCCAGCCCTCGTGAACAGCACGCCCTTGGCTCAGGGGCTTTCATGCCTGTTCTGCAGCGGAGAGTTCAGGCTGCAGACTTGGTTGTATTTTAGCAATCGCGGGATTCGTGGCTGGTGCGGCACACCATCCTCTGATGGCGAGATTGAGTCCTTGAGAAGTGGGGACTCTGTTTCCTATCCGGTGTTGAGCTACCAGCGGCTCAAACATCAACCTGGGGGGTTTCTTCCTACAATTTCTCAGGCTTTCCAGTGGATCGGCTGTGGCTTGGAAATGTGATACATTAACATACTTTGGGCTGGGGCAGCTAATAACAATACAAGGAGTGGTTCTGTCCAATGTAGTCAAGCTCAACATCTGTAAATAAATGTGAGATTCGCGACACTCCGCCATAGAAGCTGAGCATTTCTAATGTATGATGCTTCTATCTTCTACCGAATAGAAGTTCAACCCTGGGTCACTCCTGTTCGCTCTCTGTCATGTACGCTTCGCTCATGGCGGTTGATCAATCCGAAACCTTGGTGATGAGACGGTCGACCGGTTTTGCCACGCCACTGTGTCCGAGAAACATACCAGCGTATTGCATAGACCCAAAGGACCCGCAATCAGCTACACAAGCCGCAGGGCACAGATGGGGAGGTTGCGGATCGCATTAGCATTAGCATTAGCATTAGCATTAGCATTAGCATTAGCATTAGCATTAGCATTAACTAACATCTGGAGAACAATATATCATGTTATATCAGCGGGGCAAGTTCCTCTGCACCCCCTCACTACAATTATTCTTACAGGCTCGAGTGTCATCCCCAGCGAACCTAACCGTACATAAAGCTGCAGAACAATACGCTGCCAGTTGCTGATGGATGGGCGCATGAAGCCGTGAATTCGAGAATAGGCTGATATTACTATTTTTGGCACAATCATTCGTTCCAAGTCATCTATTGATCCTCTATTTGTTGGAATCTGGGCGTCTGGTGGGCTCCACGTCCCGCCTCAGCCACACTATCAACGTTTTTGGGAGCTGCATCATGATTCAGATTGAGTCAGATCAATACTTGGAATCTTATGCAACACCTTCTCGCACGAAAATTGCTTATTATGGTTAGAGGCTTTGCATGAGACCTGTATTTATGAATTCGGTGGCTTTTGCCAAGTAGATCCACCCCCCCAAGGTATGCCGTTACTGAATGTAAATAATTATAGAGAGGAGACAACCAGACGTACGGCCCTTGTACAGCTAATTCAGCCGAACCTCGAACCCCGAAAGATTCGAGAACCTTTCCTTTTTAACGCAGAGCAACGTGGCATTCGGGGCCGTTTGAGGGGCCAGGAGGGAGGGCTATATAGCATTTGCCATGTTGCGCTAGGGGAAAATGGTCAAACATTACGGCTACTGCGGGTTGCCACAACGAGGCTGTGTATTTTGGTATTTTGACCGGGAGTACACCAATAGTCAATGGGTAACGTATTATTAATATGCGTAGGGCTGCCGAGATTCTGCAACAATTTATACTATATAGGACGCAGCAGAGTCGAGAAGCTCCCCGTAAGGTTCCATACAGATGATGCCAGAAAAGGGAAAAAGAAAAAAGAAGAGAAAAAAGAGAAAAAAAGAAACTGCCGGTCCAACAAATTCCGGCACCCGCCTGCTCGCATCAGAAATAACAATAACTAATAATAATACAATAGGTAAGCAGTCTTTTTTTGCTTCTCCCTAAACGTGGGGATTTAACCTCATAACAAAATGAAAACCTCGGCCTAGAGACATGGACAGAATGAGATATCTTGCCCTCAGGAGCTCATTCATACCGGAACGTTCTTTTCTTCCACCTTTCTCTCTTTCAGTCATTTTATTTTTTGGCGAGAATTTGAGCAGCTTCATGGTTGCATGGATCTCTTCTATAACTATAACTTTGTACCTCACTACGGCATGATGAGACTGCAGTGATGACGTTCCAATTATGAGGTGAATTTCATGACATCACAGTGGCTTCGAAGTTTCGATCTCCCTCCCTTTTTTCCCCCGTTTAAGCATCCTTTGCCCCAATAGAAATAGTTAGATTAGTTATGGGGAAACAAATACCTTTTTCAAAGACGCAACAAGTCAAAGTGGTGCTTAGAAGAAGATTGAATTTTTTTGTTGTTGAGAGACGCTGCTCATATGGACGTCATAACCAGTACCGGAGTTTCCCAGCTTCCAACTGAATGAAGCAACATCTTACTTAACCTCAATTGAATTCCTCTTTTTTGGTTTCTATCCCATACGCATATCCCATACTCTAATTGGACCATTAAACAAACCATGGCCGCCTCACCCACAAAATTCAAGCTCAACACCAGCGCCTACATCCCAGCTATAGGCCTGGGGACTTGGCAAGACGAGGATGCGCAGGAGAAAGCTGTGCTGACCGCGCTGGAAGCCGGGTACCGCCATATCGATACAGCAGCCATGTAAGAGCAATCGAATTAACATTTCATCCCGCGGCCCCCTTTTTCAACACCACCCTCCCAAAATAAATATAAGCTAGGTAGCTAGCTGACCAACGTCGTAAACAAAAACCCTATAGCTACGGAACCGAAGCCGCCATCGGCCGTGCATTGAAAAAATGCGGAATTCCCCGGGACCAAATCTTCATCACCTCCAAGCTGTGGAATAACAAACACCACCCAGACGACGTCGACGCCGCTCTTAGCCAGTCACTGAAGGATCTGGGCGTGAGCTATGTGGATCTTTATCTCATGCATTGGCCCGTTGCCTTTGCGCGTGGGGACGAGCTGTTTCCCCAGGATGAACAGGGAAAGCGGAAGATTGCGAAGATTGATTATGTTGATGTATGTGTTTCTCCCCGCATCCCCACCACCTCCTCCTACTGGCCTCTCGGAACCCCAAACCTCCCCATCTACCCCAGGGGAATTCCAAATTTTATACTATTAAGTATACTTACAAACGCACCAGACATACAAAGCAATGGAAAAGCTCCAGCAATCCGGCAAAACCAAGGCGATAGGGATCTCCAACTTCTCCAAGGCGGAGGTCGAGCGACTGCTCGCTAACAGCTCCATTGTGCCCGCCGTTCACCAGATGGAACTGCACCCCTGGCTCCAGCAGGAGGAATTCGTAAAGTTCCACGCTAGCAAGGGAATTCATATTACACAGTATTCGTCACTGGGTAATCAGAATGAGATTTATAATCGGGAGAAGGTGGGGCGGATGCTTGATGATCCTGTTCTGAAGGAGGTGGCGGAGAAAACTGAGAAGACGTGTGCGCAGGTTGCGCTAGGTATGTGTGAATTCGATTTCTTTATATCGACTGCGGTCGTTGCAATATTTTCGCTGACTGGGATATCCTCTATTTTCCCTCTCTCTTTTAGCATGGGGAATTGCGCGCGGCCACTCCGTGCTCGTCAAGTCCAAGACGCCAGAACGCATCCTGCAGAACTTGCAATCTGATTTCCGTCTCAATCCTAAATATGTCAAGCAGATTGACGGCATTGATAAGAAGCTACGCTTTAACGATTCAAGTGAGGGTTTTGGGTATAGCTTCTTCACGGATTTGGAGGGCAAGTAGAAGTGAGATAGCGGCAGGGCAGATTGGTGTGTTTGGGGAGACCATTGATCCGGCAAAAACCATGCCCGGTGTTACTGTCATCGCATGTATAAGTAAATATATAGTAATTCACTGAAAGCTTTCGTTTTGACACAGCTTGAACACAGCTGCTAGCATCTTTTAGCTGCCTGCTATTCACGCACATGTACATGCATAAGTCCATCGATCGTCAGGGAGGGAAGACTGAAGAACATACTCAACAGACATGTCTTACACCACCTTCGGAGATATCCCTATCAACTCCCTGAGACAATGAGAGCCAATATACTCCACCATGAAACGGATAAAAATCCCTCAAGGAAGTCATCTCGTCAAAAACTTTGGCTTAAAATGCTTCTGATACCTCTCCAAGTCAAATACAGGTCCATCGGATAGTTCAGAACTATCAGGATCCCCTGCCCAGACAAATGTCCGACACTCGAACCCGCTCTGCTCCGTTGTAGAAGTGCTACCGTTATCATCGGTAAACTCCGCAACACAGCGGCGCCAGGCGTACGCTTTCGTCTCATATCTCTCCAGCAGTGTGAATTGCGCCGGGTGTTCGACTAGATAGAGCTTGCCGGGAATAGCATCATCATCAGCAGCAGCATCGACACCTTCCCCACCCTCCGTTCTGCTACCATTGGAGCTGGAGGGCTTGGGGATGAGAGTGGGATAGGGACCCCACATCTTCATTTTGTAGTTTCTGAGCTTTGCGGCGCGGAGAGGCGGCGGAGGACTGGGGAGAGCTAGGACATGTTGGAGGACGTCGAGGTCCATGAGGGAGCCGTAGACGAAGAGGTAGGTGGTTTTCCATGGCGGGTCGATTTGAGGAGCAGTCCCGTCTCGAGAGGACTCCATGATGATAAATAAGTGTTAGTAGTAGCTGGAGCTAGAGGATTGTCGGAAGGCATGATTTGTGGTAAGGTTTATTATAAGAGGCCAGAAGGAGATGATGACGAGAAATTTGGTACCCAAGTTGATCCCAAGGAACTGCGCCCAGGTTGACCCAAATACTCCGTATGTCGCTATAGATCGGATTCCACTAAAAATACATTACTGCCCTAACGTTAACCCCTCGAATCTCGAGTTCTGGGCGGCTATTGTAAGCGCCGATCTGCCTAAATATTTATTTACCCTTGCGTGGTGACTATATTCCTGGAGAGCTCTAGATCTGCAGCGCAACACGGACAGACAGTCTCTCTCAGCTTTGTTCTATCTGTAATACCTCTGTCATCTGTTTGAACACTGGCTACTACTGCCTTGCTATTTCTCCGCTCTGAATAAATCTACGATCTCCCATTTTTCAAAATTTAACTATCATATGCCGTGCAATTTTGCAATCCAACTCAAATGGCTCCTCCAAACCTGCTCGCAGCCTTTCACCGTGACTCGCAGTTCTCGAAACGGCTCATAGCTTCATATGTGTTAGACTGGATAATAATACTGTACGTGATCGACTGGGGAAGAATACATTTTCATCCAGCTTCTTTGATTTCTAAACGAATTGCTAACTCGCAGATTGTAGGGTAACCGCAGCCGCAGCTCGCATTTTGAAGCTCGCAGAACCTAACAGAAACCCCTTCTCGCTCACCGACCCAAGCATATCATACCCGTTTACCGTTGATGAAACCGTTAAAGTTACCGTTTTGGTCCTGGTTAGCCTCATCGCGCCCGCAGTTATCATATTTCTCGGGAGCATTTTTTTCGTCCCAGGTCTCACGGCGGCCAAACATGCGCCCAAGGCTGCAGTATGGCGACGCAAATTGTGGGAGTGGAATGTTGGATGGATGGGATTAGGCATCGCGTATGCTGGGACATATGCGTCTACAGAGGCTCTTAAGGTCATATACGGGAAACCTCGACCGGATCTGCTTAGTCGCTGTAATCCGAATTTGTCAGATATTGCAGCGCATGTGGTTGGAGGTCTGGGGGAAAGGCTTGACGGCGCGCCGCTTCTCGTCTCGTATACGATCTGCCAGAATACCTCTAAGAAACTCGCCCGGGATGGCTTTGTGAGCTTTCCCAGCGGACACGCCTCGTGTAAGTGGCACTTGAATCCTTGTGGCGAGAGAGGTGGGAAATCTAGATTATCTGAAGCCCATACTAATACCTCCCACCCCACAGTATCATTCGCAGGCCTCACCTACCTAACCCTCTGGTTTTGCGCAAAGTTCTCCGTTTCCATCCCGTACCTCGCACCAAGACATTATACCCCAGATACCCGACAAACTGCCTTCTCAACATACACCGCCACAGCCAACCACACCCGCAGCACCAGCAAAGACCCAACCCCCTTCGATGAACCCTACCCCAGCACCTCCCTCACAAACCCCTCACAAACCCCCATCGCCCTCCGAGCCCAATCCGCGGCCCCACCAACCTACCTCCTCGCCCTCGCCGCCGTCCCAATCGTCCCCGCAACCTACATAGCCTCTAGCCGCTGGTTCGACAACCGCCATTTCGGCTTCGATATCCTCTTCGGCAGCCTGCTGGGCATCTTCTTCGCCTGGCTGGGGTTCCGCTGGTACCACTTGCCGCTGAGCGCGGGCGGTGCGGGCTGGGCTTGGGGCGCGCGGAGTCCTGAGCGTGCGTTCTTTGCTGGGGTGGGGGTTGATGGGTATGTGCGGCATGAGTGTCTTGTTGAGGGAAGGGAGGAGGATGGGCGGGCGCCGGGGGCGGCGGCGGCGACGTCGTATTCCCCTTCGTCGAGGCCGGGAAGTGGGGTGGTGAGGAGGGGAGGAGATAATGTTTGAGAGGAACGTGTGGTTTTTTTCCCATTATGGATTGGGGAGTGATATTTCATCGATATTTGGCATTTGATATTTATTCATATTTTATGTTGTTTCGGGTATCCAGTGACGTGTGCTTTTCTTGATTTACTATGCTTTTCGGAATTAAGATATCCATATAAGTTAACTTTTAACTTCATGAGCGGGCAAAGCAATTGTACATTTCATATGTTCCATTCTAGAAAAAGGCATTTAATAGTAACGCAGTATAGTACAGGTATTTGTGCTGTGTAATTCAACCTTGCCGGGTTTTCTCCTAATGCCAGCTCATATAACACACAATTGGTTGGGATATTATATGCCGTCCAACCTCTGGTAAGATCCAAATATATGAAAGCTACCTAAACTCCGTGAAAAAACGTAAAGCTCCCAAACCATGCCAAGTTTCACTCAACGCCCATCAAACTTATCGAGCGACACCCGTTCATCTCCAGCCCCCCACCCTCCCTTCATCCCACCTAGCCCTCATTTCCCTCCTATTCTCCAACCTCGCCCCCTCCGTCCTAACCCTCCTAACCCACTCCACAACCTCCCTTTCAGTCGCCTTCTCTTCACTACCCTGCTCACTCTCCAAAAAGCTCTCCTCAACCGCTCGACACACAGCTTCTTGCTCCGCAATGCCCGCCACGAGGCGCTGATATAACGCCTTAGGTGACCATGGCTCCAAGGCAGTGTCAAGCTCGCCCTGCTTCTTGCGCCAGGAGAGTTCGAGGGATTGGTGGTGGAGGAGAAGGGATTCGGTGGAGGCGCGGAGGTTGTGTAGGTGTGTTTCGAGGGAGAGGAGGTGGGTGGCTAGTTTTTTGTTGGCGGTTAGGAGGGTCGTGAGGTGGGCTTGTGTAGCTGCGTAGGAAGAGTGGGTGGTTGCAAGGGCGTGGAGGAGGGTGGGGTTTTGGAGGATGGAGTGGAGGTCCGGGGTTCTGTGTATGTGTATGTGTGTGGCTTGGTTAGTTAAAGGTTTGCGAGGCGGCATGTGTTTGGGATAATCAACGTACGATTTATCTTTCAGAGCATCTGGGAGCCAGCCGTCCTCTACGTTTGGCGGTTGTGGAAGCTTGTCGGCGGAGAATGCATCATCTGGTAAGGAATCGGGTGGGCGTGCTGTAGCTGGATCTCCATGGTGACCTGGTTGGCCCTGGGTAGTAGAAGGCTCTCGAGCTGCGGAGCTGGATAATGGGGGAGGAAAAGGTAGCGGGGAGCCAGCATGGGGCGTTCCCTTGCGGCTGGCTTCATGGCTGGTTGGTTTCGGCGGCGGTGGGGGAGGGGTTTCGGTGTCGAGGGAAGGGTTGGAGCCTGGAGGATTCCCCGGATATGAGGAGGAGAGCGTAGAATACGGTACAGGTGGTAGAGACATGATAAATGTCCGTGGCAGTGGAAGAATGGGATGGTTGTTGGTGAGGAGGGTTGGTTGATTGACGGATTGATTGTTAGTGGTGGTGACTGTGATGTCACCTGATCAAATTTTTGGAAGCTGTGGAAGAAAAGTCAAAAAGAGGTTTCAAGCACTCCAAGCTTCCAAAGTCCGTTGATAAGGCTGTAAACTATGGCTGGCACTGTATACGGGTTCGGTGTATTGTTGTATTTAGCATCTATCATGTACTGTGTGCATGCGCTGGATTTCAAGTGGTATATGTCCAGCATTCGTAAAGCGTGAAATACCGCCCTCTATTCAGTCCGTCGTCTAACGTCCCGCTCCTGTGTTTCTGCATTCACCCCTCTAATTGCATCCGTCACTAATTGACGAAGTTCCCGCTGTCCTTCTTCAGTGTGAATATTTTCCTTTGCAGCAAGCTCCTCAATCCTCCTCTTGAATTCCGGGTCCACCACCTCATCTCCGATTGCAGCTGGGTCAGGCATGCTTCCAACATTTACCGTCACGTTAGGCGGAATCGTTGTAGATGAATTCAGTAGTTGGTCCTGGCCGTCTGTAGTCTGGCTGCCCCGTAGGTATTCGATCAATTGTGGGTATTCCCCATCACTGGCAATTGACTCCTCAGCCTTCAGTCCAAGGTGATTCTTGTGCTCCCTATCCACACCAAGTTCCTCGATCAAGCAGCGGGCCACATCGACGGACTCCGTGACAAAAAGACAGGTTTCTCCATCCTCGTCGACTAGGTTTACGTTTACCTGGAGTTCTTGGACGAGCGCGCGGAGCAGGTCGACATGGCCGTACGATGCCGCGGCGTGCAGGAGGGAATACCCAGTGCCGTCCTGGGACGAAGCTAAGGCGGGGTTGGACCGAAGGAGCGGGAGGAGGGAGGGCGAATTGTCTGCTGCAAGCGTGTAGATATTGGGCTGAGCGGAGGACATAATGAGATGCGGATATCTCCTTCTACTAGAAAATAATATACAAATCACAGGGCTGTGAATAATGAGAACTGGTTAAACTGAACTAATAATGGTTTTGGGTTGAGCACCACCGCCAAAAAAAAAAAAAAAAAAAAAAAAAAAAAAAAAAAAAAAAAAAAAAAAGCCGGATTTAGTTAGTAGCTGCTAGAGCTCCATCAATTAAGAACCTCGAAACTTCGGATTTAGCATCATCAGCTCAGGAAATAGGCAGCCAACTACAACTCATTCGCTTGCATTATCTGCCTAGGAATTTCTAGTAAACTGATTCATAGATCTTTTCCATCAACTCGAGTGGCAAGATTGCAGAACCCTTTGCTGTTGTACTAGAATTGCCCCGCTTCGCCTCTTTAACCTCCCATTTCCCCCCTCCCAACAGCTTGATCCTTTTCCCGTTTGAATATTCATTTCGCAGATCGGAATCATGGTTCAACAAGACGTTAATGAGGTCACCCAGCTTGTTCACACGTTAGAGGCCGCGAGCGGAAAGAAAAAGCAACCAGGAAAGAAGACCTTCTCCTGCAAGAAGAGCACCTTTCCAGTCGCGGGGTCAGATATCAACGTGGACTCATGGAGGTTCCAGGATTGGGATTACAAACGGGATGACATGCCAACCTATGCTCGCGGTCTCTTTACGACCAAGAACAGGAACAATCAGTATGAAATCGCCGTTCGAGGATACGACAAGTTTTTCAACGTGGAGGAAGTTACCTCGACACGGTGGAGAAATATTGAGCGCAATACTCGAGGGCCATATGAGTTAAGCGTTAAAGAAAATGGCTGCATTATTTTCATATCTGGCTTGGAGGATGGCACTCTGCTGGTATGCAGCAAACACTCAACAGGCGCTAGAGCCGATGTCAACCTCAGCCACGCTGTTGCTGGTGAAAACTGGGTGAAGCGGCATGTAGCCTCCGTTGGTAAGACGATGGAGGATTTGGCCAAGGCACTGAGAGGCAGTAATCTAACTGCTGTTGGGGAGCTTTGTGACGACAGCTTTGAGGAGCATGTTCTCCCCTATGATGAGGAGGCGTCTGGCATCTACCTCCACGGCCTCAACTACAATGTCTCCGAATTCGCTACCCTGCCTAGCCGTGATGTTCACAGATTTGCTGATGAATGGGGATTTAAGAAGGCGAAGTACCTCGAGAAAGATTCCGTTTCCGAAGTGAAGACTTTCTTAGATAAATGCGCAGAGACTGGATCGTGGGATGGTAGGGACACCGAAGGTTTTGTTGTCCGGTGTCAAATAAGTGAAGGGGGTGTCAGTCCATACAGAGACTGGTTCTTCAAGTACAAGTTTGAAGAACCATACCTCATGTACAGGCAGTGGCGCGAAGCCACCAAGGCAGTGATTGGAGGAAGGCAACCAAAAATCAAGAAGCATGTGGCTATCACAGAAGAATATCTTGATTACGCAAAGAGGCAGCTTGCCAAGGATCCTATGCTTGCGAAGCTCTACAACCAAAACCACGGCATTATCGCAATGAGAGATGGCTTCTTGAAAGAGAGAGGGCTGAAGGGTTCAGAGATCATTGCCATGGAAATAGCCCAAGGAGATGCGACTTCGCCTCTTGCTAACGTGACACAAGATATCGTCTTAGTACCAGTCGCCTCAATTGGATGTGGTAAAACCACTCTAGCCCTCGCCCTTGTGAAGTTATTTGGCTGGGGACATATCCAGAATGATAATATTCAGGGACAGAAGAACCGCCCAAAAAGATTTGCACAAGAGGTAACCAGTTCGCTTGCAACGCATAAAGTCGTCATTGCAGATCGCAACAATCACCAAAGACGGGAAAGGAACCAGATCATTGACGATGTTCAACGAGCCATACCTAAGGCTAAATTTGTTGCCCTCCACTATGTCCATGAGCCCAAACAAATATTGCTGAATGATATTAGAAAAGTTACGCAGGCAAGAGTACTAGAACGAGGGGATAACCACCAGACAATCCAGGCCAGTAGCAAAGACAGAGACTCGGTCATTTCTATTATGGAAGGCTTTTTGAGTCGGTTTGAAGCCATCGACACAGACCGCGACCCTGACGACGGGTTTGATGAAGTGATAGATCTGGATGTAACCGCCTCCTCCCGTGAAAACCTGGAGAAGGTCATCTCAGCTATACACTCCTCATTTCCAAAGCTCATGGACGGCAAACTGCCAACCTCATCTGACCTAGACAACGCCATCGATGAAGCCATGAAAAACTACAAAGTCGACACAAAACACGACCTCAGATTCTCGAACACCAACAGGTTCTCGAAACCAGCACCACGAGAATCCCCTGACCAGCTCGTCAGACGCATAGATTACTTTAACATCTCCTTCAATACCAGCCAAATAACCACCCTACTCTCCTCCCTCTTCCCGCCTTCAACACCACCCGAAAAAATGAAACTATACAACCACCTTAAAAACTCCCGTCGCATCCAACCTTCATTCCACGTGACCCTAATCCACCGCGCCTCCCAACCAACCGACCCAGACATCTGGACCTACTACGCAAACCTCTACAAAGCCGCCATCCAAAAACAACAACCCAACCCGACAAACGGCTACGTCCTCGAAACCCCAACCCTAGGCTCCACCCGCGTCCGCGTCGAGCGGCTAGTTTGGGACGACAGAATCATGGCATTTGTCGCGCGCATTGTACCGCGGGATGGGGACTCGTGGCCGTGCGCGAATGAGATTCCGCATATCACGATCGGCACGGCTACGCCCGAGGTGAAGCCGAAGGAGAGCAATGACTTGTTGAAGCGTTGGTTAGAGGTTGGGGCTGGAGGCGAGACGGGGATTTGGGAGGCTGAGGTGTCTTGTGTCACGGTACTAGAGGGGAGTGTTGGGGAGGTGTTGAGGCGGTAGTAGAGAGCCAGGGAGATAGAACGGGGGGGGAAGGGAAAGAGGGGGAAGCGGTACGGCGAATTACTCTTTTACTAGAGGCTAAACGGAGAAACGTTGTGTGTGATTTTCTTTTTATAAATAGGCACTTTATTCCTTATGATATACGTGCTTTCCCCCTTACACAACTTATCTCATCGAAAGGTGAGGATATATTGATTCCCTGCAATTCAAGCCTTGTTTATCTGGTAGGCGAAATTTAAATGGGCGAGTAGAATGGCTGGAATGGGTCGTGCTGCTAACGAGTATGATATTTTTACTTCACTTTTCATCTGTGTTAAGTCTTGCGACTCCATGATATGAAAATACGGGATTGGTATGATTACAAGGGGGGATAGAATCTGAATTTTCGGGAAATCACTGAACGAGCGGATTATTCCACCACAATCCCGTTATTCAGGTGAAATGGCGATATTGGAGTGGAGGAAATATGAATTTAAACTTACACATACCCCAGTGGAATCAACAGGTTTCGCCTTAAAATACCAAGATATATGATTGGGACAGTCACGATTTTTTATGTATTGGTGCTGTATGTATGTGTGTATGTGCCTGTCTATCAAAGGTATCGCGAATTTACCAAATCCATTATGGCAAAGGGGGAACATGAGGATGTCGGAGCAAAAAGGAGAAAAGGAGAAAAAGAGAAAAAGAAAAGGAAATCCCCATCCAAAATTGTAGTATGGGAGCAGCGTTTACCCCATTCCAACCGTTTAACAGAAAACAATACTGGAAAGGAAATGAGGAAGATAAATGGATGGCAAATGAGCAATAACAGGGGTATATAGAAACTATAGGATGGTTTAGTAAACGTAGCCTTTGCAAGAAGAGCATGTCAGCTCGAAGGGAAAAATTCGAAAGTAGTATTACATTTGCATTCATTACGCTGCCCCTCGCTTTCACATTCTCTCCCTCTTGCCTCTATTTCCTCAATCACTCATCCAAGCCGCAACCCTACCTCCCCCAACTCGCGTTGCTAGTCTCAAGCCCGTGCTGCCCATGGGGAAATAACTCACGAGATACCAAACGAGCGCGACGAGTTGAAAAATGCTGGATATCAAGGTGAGAAGTGTGGAGTGGAGCTGCGCGGGGGCGAGATTGAAACTCAAAAGGTTAGCAGATGACTCGTCGTGGATATGGATTTAGATTGGTACGGATAGGGCGGAACGGCCCATGCCCTTTAGGATTTGTATGATAATGCAAGATTAGGGAGGAAGGGAAAGTGAGAGGGGTCAAGGGGAATTGGGAAGGGGGGAAGGGGGGAAGGGGACCAGGAGACGGAATATACGGATTTGGGCGCCAATCACTTCCGCCTCCCGACGGCACTGTTTTTGCCACGAAATGCATGAGGAATAAATGAAATGCAAGTAGAGCTGAGAATGTAACAGTTGGGTCACCCAAAAGAGAGTAGCAGGTGGGACAGAAGAGCAGGCTAAGGGAAATTTAGAAGATGCGAATTTCTGAAAAGAAGAGCAATGGATAAATCGCAAAACGGAAAAACTGTGTGAAGACTTTCCCAATGGGGAAATATGAATGAAAATCCGGAATATGCAGACTAAAAAAGTGGACTTACTCCGATAGCAAAGTAGAGAGTCAAGCCGATCGATGCGAAGTATGCGCCGGTGAACGGAAGGCGAGGCCCGGATGCTAAATGCTTGACATATGCCACAGGTCCCATGAGAACAGCCCAGGAGGCGAGAAAGAGGACGGATCCCACAGACCACCTTAAAAAAGCAAAAGTGTTAGCTATAACCTTAGATATGAGACATCTAAAACCGCAACCGGATGTATGATAGCTCTAACACGCCCAAGGGAAAGTGGAGCATCTCGGAGACCGGCCCGGATTGAATAGTAGATGACAAGGTACGCCAGGAATGACATGGAGTGAGAGCAGGGTCAACAAGCTGATGCTGGTAATCGCATAGTGGTTGTTCAAGAACTGAGGGAATGCAGCCCTTTCGTAAACATATTACTTTGTGTGGGTGGGCAAAACTCGGCCGCATACGTCATTGCTGAAAGAGTTCAAGGCAGCTTTTAGGGAAAAGGGGGGGTGCTTCTGAAATAAAAATTAAACTTACAGAACTGCAAACTTCCGTGCCCTGAACATTAGAGGGAATAATATGAGCCCTATGCATATACTAAAGCAGACAAGAGCACCAATATTACACCCAGCAAATATCAGCATTCGGTCCCATCGAGTCACTGCGTAGCAAAAGCAGAGATGTTAGCATCATTCGAAAACCGCGAATAGGAAGCCGAGAGCAATGCATCGTTTGTGAATTTGAGGTTGAGAGGGTAACTCCACGGTGGAACATGCATGTGAGTCTGTGCGGACGCAGGAACTGAGGTGTGTCACTTGTACGCTGACCATAGAGATGGCATGAAATAGTCAAGACATCTACATCAGGAAGGTGTGTCATGAGACTCACATGAAAACCATGTTTCGTCCTCTTCTCGCCTTGTTGGGGCCGGTAAGGGTGCAGCTGAATCGTCTTGCGCAGGAAGCTGAACATAACCCCGATTCGCAAAAGGGTTAAGTGATTGAAGGTTCGAGAATACAGAGTTCGAGGCTGTGCGATTTGTAGATGCGGTATCCGGTTCCCTCCGTGCCCATCCCATGGAATTCATGGAGTCACGAAACGAGGCGGACGCCATCTTTTTCGATAACCGTTGGCGTGGTTTTCAACGTTGATTTGCTGTTTTGCACGGTTTCCGTACTTAAGCTTCTTATTTTCCGACTTCGTTCAAACAGAAACGCCCGACGTCATTCAATAAAACGGGTAGGTATCGGCTCGCTTCGTCCCGAGGGATCTGCATTCAAATCCAGACCGTAGCTAATACGTACTCCCTCCCAGAGAGCCAAAATATGTAAGTCAATATCTCTCGCAGATAATATGTAGCTAAAATGAAAGTGTGGTGTGGGGGTAGCTGTTGGTCAGATGGTTATTATTATATTCATTGGACAAGCTATAGAAGTACGTTAGAAGTACGTGGTGCTTAGGGCGGTGTGGGGGTTTTTGGGGGGGGGGGGGGGGGGGGGGGAGGGGTAGTGTTGCCGAGATCCCAGAAGCGCTCCATTCCATTTTCATTAGGCCACGGTAAACTTACCCCGTGTCTGGTGCTGCCCCGGTATAATAATTAATAATGTATACTAGCAAGGAGAAGCTGATGATATAGAAAGCTGGCGTAGTGGTAGTGATCAGTAGTATCTCGAGATGGAGGGTTGGCGGACAAAGACACGAAGTGGCCGTGATAATATCTAAAGGGTCTAGTCCGAAGGTGCGAATATCTAAACCATCGTGAGTTAGCTTGGGGTCAGCATCAACTGAAGATTAGTATCAGATGATCATTTTAAGGCTGGTTTTGCTCTTAGCAGAGGGTCGTGAGAAACTTGGATGGGACGCACAAACCTGGTGAGTCGGTGCGCAGGGAGCTACCTGAGTGGAATCTATGAGGAAGAAATCCCAAGGGAACCCTACAGGATTGACACAGGATCCTCGCTAGGCGGTATCCGAAGAATGGAGCTGTTGGAGCCGCTTGAAGACCGCTTGCAGGAGTGATGATGCTGTTGGAACGGAGGTTTGGTTTGGCGCAAGATGCGGCTCAGTGGGCATGGTGGTGGCTTAGTCACCTCGTAACTAACTTCATGCTTCGGTGTTCCAGCCACAACCAGCTAAAAAAAAAAAAAAAAAAAAAAAGCAAATCATCTTCCCCAGATCTCAACAAAGCTAGCAAGCAAGCAGCAACGACATTGTGGTGGAGAAGCAACGGGCAGCCCCACTGTTTAAGAACTGCTACATAAATCGGCGACGAGCCGCTCCCCGTTTACCAACATCCAGGGATGGGTTATTTAGCGCCCTTTTGACTTCATCCCGAGCAGCGATATCTACCGCTTCTCCTTGGAGCACAAAAAAAGGCTACGCAGAGCTTCTGATTCGCCCTTGGTGATCGAAGGTCTCTGGTTCCTACACCTTCTATCCCTCACACCTTTGAAGGAGGGGGGGGGGTTTCCTGTTTTTCTCTAATTGCCCGTTCTCCTTTGATGCCAGATCGAATCATGGATATGCGTGTCCAACCTATGGGCAAGGTTTTTTTTTTTTTTTTTTTTTTTTTTTTTTTTTTGGTCGTTGCAGTCATGGTGGCTTGCTTACATGGAGATTTTATCTCTGGCCAGACCCTAGTATTTGAGAAGAGGAAACATGCCGTATTTCCGCAAGAAACTTCGCCTGTACCGTTGCCTCAAAATATGGGGTTGAATGTTTTGAGGAACGGGACGATTGGTAGTCGATATCTGCGGAGTCGTGGACTAGCTCACAACAACTAGACAGGATCTATCAGTCTCCATTGTCAAATGTCAACTGAGACACTTGGAGGGGCATTGAGCCAATCGATAAGCCTACCAAAAATGACCATGGGGAGGAATTTGCCACATTGTCCTAGACGTCCGTCCTACCACATCTGAGTTGACACACAGGGCGTTGATCGTTGCTAAAGGGTCCCCGTTGTCCTAGTCCCTGACATGAGAAACTCAGACAAGTAGCGCTACGCCATGATTGGAAAAGTCGGCATCCCGTCCGATAATGGGGACTTTGTGCGACATGAAAACAAGGATATTCTCCTCGGCCTGCTGCCAAAACGGAGCGTTATTTATCATCATAGCGAGCGCGTGCAATTTTGCGCAAGAAATGAAAAAAGGCGAGAGGCACCCCCGCCCCTGAAGAAGGGTGAGATGACGACTTTTTTGTTTTTTTTTTTTTTTTTCAACTTGGAGCCCAGCATGAAAAAAGGATCAGTCCATTTGGAATCGAAGAAACCATGATTTCGCATTAAGAAACTAACACACTTCTCCCCACATCCCAACTGTCTCCGTTTTAAGTTGCCGCACGGGAACCCCGTATTACCTCCCGCCAAAGTCCAAGCTTGCGGGCCAACAAGAAGGAACCGTAGGAATATTCCGTCTGGGATAAACCTAGTTTAGCCTCTGCCAAACTACAATTCCTGGAATAAACAATAAATGGAAAGCACTAATGCGTTTTTTCTTCTTCGTATGAAGAAAGCTCCCATTTGGCATCGGGGATTTTTACAAGAGCCCCAGCTAAGAACTCCACCATCCCTTTGCATCCGAGATACGAGATGCCCTCCACACCTCGTTCCGGATGTACCGCTTCTGGGAACCGCTATTTTAAATTGCCGGGGCCGGGTGACTATCACCACTGCGCGTCAAAACGTGAAAAGCCCTAGAAAACCTTGGAAGAGAGCTCCAGGATCACCCATCTTTCCCACCCTTGTGAAGGTATTTTCTAGAACGCGAACTAATCCCAGAAAGCTATCAGCTCACCGAAAGCGACCTCCCACCTCCCCCAAGTGCAGCCTTTTGATCTAGCTATGCAGTTCCATGTCGCAGATCACTTTAAAGCACATCTAGAAGATGCAAACTATCAAAATATAAACTGGCATCGAAAAGGGCAAATAGGACATAGCTACGTAGTTTTTCGCTATATGATAGTGAGAGATTTTGATATACATACATATAACTATATACCAATCAGATGCTTATGCTTATACAGTAAACTTAAACCTACACCCCTTTGCGAAGGAAACAATAAGACTCAGACTCCCATTAGTCGCCGAAGAATCTTCCTATATTTTTTGTCATTACTGGCACACACACGCACGCACGCACGCACGTACGCACGCACAGCCTACTCGGTGGTGTGAATCAGATCCCCTCTCCTGTCACCAATCAACAGCACTATCACAAGCCAGCCGGTTGCTATGTTTCTGCCGGGGTCGCGTTTTCTACACCCAAGCCAGTAAGTGGTATATATGCAACGAAAGAAGGTATGGGATGGGCGAACAAAGATTGCTCAAACTACTTACGTTCTCTTTCTAGTTGTCTCTCCAAGTTATTTAATTATTCCCTCCAGCCTTTCCCTCCTCCGCCCCCCTTTTATTTTATATCCTGAAATAATTAATGATAACGGGGGAAAAGAAAACTAGTCACATTACCCTCGACCTAGGACGCGCGCGACAGCTGACGACAAATGGTGAAGATGATGCTCCTTTTCTTGCTGCCTGCCTTGTCCATGGGGCTTTGATTCTCGTGTGTTTTTTTAATTTTCTCTTGTTAGTTAGTGAAGTTAGTGAGTTCGTTATTCTTATTCATTTACTGCTGGCTGCCCACCACCACCACCCATCCCATCCCATTTTATTATTTAATAATAATAGTAAAATTCTTATTATTACTGTTGTGTCCACCGCCACACCCTTTTCTTACCTCCCCCCTTAACCCCCCCTCCTGTCTGGAGAATCTGCCACCCTCTCCCGTTCGGCGCAGCCACAGTTATGGCTACTACATCAAACCCTGATTTTTCCCTCTTGGTAGGTATGGAAATCAAGAGTGAGAGGAGAAGGTGTGAGCAGGGAGTGTGCGCGGTATGCGTCAGGGAGCGTAATAAGTGTGTCTGTATATATATCCCGTAGTTGCATACCTATCTGAACCATGCCGAATTAGCCCTACAGGACAAATGTATTAATTATATCCTGTGTATACACATCGAGTGCAAAAATCAAAAATCAAAAATCAAAAATCAAAAATCAAGCTAGTTCCAGAAACCACAAACCTCGTGGATATTCCATTGGGGATTGTAAAATGATCGACGCCCTGCATGACCAGCGCCGTCATGTATCAAATGAGAGCTGCAGGATGATGGATGGGCGCGATCTTTTGTTTCGCTGGAATCATAAATGTGTTTGGCTTCCCTTTCTTCCCCGCTGGCCCCCCCCCCCAAAATCTGTTGCATGATATGATGATATTCCTTTCGGTCTGTCTCCCGGTTTCGTTTAATGAGAAGAAGAGGGAAAATAAAATAAAAAAATACACCTGTTGTGATTCGAATCCCGTTTCTCTGATTCGGCAGGGAATCTCACTTGCTTATATACTCCCGCTTGGATCCGCTTAACTATCTATCGCTCTCGCGACCCCATCCCATCCCTGTCTACCTACTCCGTCTCAAACTGCATTTTATATACCCTTATCGTTTAACTATCTGTGGTTCTACCATCCTTCTCGTCGCATCACTCACTATTCGCCCAGCCCGGCGTTTAAAGGGGCTTCCTACTTCCCATTCTCTACCGCATCCTAGCCGCCCAAACCATCCCAATAGGATCTTGCCATATTTATTTACTTCCTCGTCATCTCAAGGGAGAAAAAAAAACCACCTTCCAACCAACCAGCGACAGCGACTTATCCATTTGCTATTGGCGATTGCGCGATCCAACCCACATCGAAGACGTACATACTGTGTACATTCCTCAGGCAGCAGGCTGTTTGCTTTAACTGCCGCCCCTCGCCCACCCCACGGCGCAGAAAGGACGGAACGTTTGGCTCCTTTGTCTGTGATATTCCGCATTTTTCGCATCGTATCGCATCATATTGTATCGCACCGCATCGCACGGAGGCAAACATCCAAGCTAGCTAGCCAGCTGCATTGTTTTATTCCTGGTGGTACGGTACAATCCTGAGGAAGTGACGCAAACCCCGCAGTGGTTTTCCTTGTGTTTTCCATGATTTAGCTCCCTGAATTCAGCAGTTGAGCTAGATATCTAAATATATTCGAGTTAGTAAGTACACTTCTTCCATTTTGATTTTTCAAGAGATATAGCAAGAGTGTCTTTTTTTTATTTTTATTTTATTTTTATTTCTCTTTCGTTTTGATTTCCCACATCATTACCATTCTGTTCAGTTGGAGCCCTCGCTCGTTTTTGTAATTCCTGTTTTCCGTTTACTTCTCGTTTTGTTGTTCCTCGTTCGTCCCGACTGTCTGAGTCCCCGCGTATGAAAGCCACTTTTTTTTTTTTGCCCCGCGCGAGATCCGATTTCTCCGCTCGAAGGCTTGGGAGCTGCGGTTTAACAGGACGGAGGCCCGTCCTCGCTTCGTTGATTTTCTTTAGCGGCAGCCACAGCCAGCAGCCCAACCAAGTTGGTCAACGAGAGGAGGAGCCTCTCTTGGCGATATGTGCAGATGAAGCAAAGCCTGAATTGTGCATCTTCTGCTTGGGCGCTGTTCTGCCAATCGGCCCCACCCCCTTTTCTATACTCTCCTCCATTTGCACAGAACTTCTTCCCTGGTCAAGTTTCAGAGGCAGGTAGAAGCTGGCCAAGTGGACGACGGGTGATTGATGAGGCGGGGCCGGGTTGTAATGAAACAGCTCGCATGGGCCTGTCCTTCTCCTTTTCCACTTCTAATATTTTGTTCTTTCGTTGTTGTTTTGAGCCTTTGACCTTTGAAATCTAGAAATATGGGTGGTGTTTGTTGTTGGCGGGGGAGGAGGAGGAGAAGGTGGCTAGAAAGATCCCGTACCAGCGGGAACAACGGGCGTATGGTACTGTACATTACATTACTGTACCGTCCCCGTATATTCATACTGCCCCCTCCCAATAAGCTGCCAACACGGTAATTTATTTGTCGTATTTTTGGTTTTGCCCGTCTTTTTATTTTCCGCTACCTTCCACCGCCTGTCCGGTCCCAATTCCACGCTGTCATGTCAGCACATCATCGTCCATCTTCTATTGCCTCATCGCAGCAGCATCACATCACAGCATCACAGCATCCGTATATATTTCGTCCCCAGCGCTCCGTTTTCCCCCACCCTTGCGGTATTCTCTCCTTCTACTGCTTATATGCAATAGCTTTTTTCTGTCCATCCCAACCCCTATCTCCGCTTCTTCCCCACTTGCTACCTCTCTTACCGCCTCTCTTTCTGCCCCCGTCTGTCAAAGCTTCTACTTGATTTTTTACGCTGTGACTCCTCCGCCGCCCCATGTCTTACATCGTTGATCAGCCATGACAACTCCCAGCCAACTCCACACACATACCTGACTCTGATATAGCCTACAGCCTTCCGTTATCTTGACCTTTCACTTACTCTGTGCAGTTCCAGCAATTGCCTAACGCAACTAACTCCCTCTCCTCCCGCTCTTCTCACACTCTCTCCCCCCCTTTCAACCTCGGCAGCCTCGTTCCTATCCACCTCGAGTTTTCCCTTCCGCCCGCCCAGTACCAAGACGCGGAATCATACCATTTAAACCCCGTCTCAGTCTCTAACATCGTTTACATACAAATATATATTTGGTTGTGTTCTGTAACGACAGGGCTCGTTGCGAAACGGTATGTACCTTGCATATCATGAATATACAGCTACGTATTAGCTGGAGGAAATGTTGGTTGAAAACCAATTCCCTCCATAGCCGCGCTATCCCTTCCCCATATGGTTTGATTCTACATCTCGATGTTGAACATGCACGCTGACAGGGCTGTTGGATGTCTGTAGCACCTTCGACCTATTTTCAGGTACACTCCGCCCGAAGATTGTGCGTAGTCCCTCACTGCTGGTTCGCTTTTCCTTTTCCGTTCGCTGGTTTCGAAGACCAGCACCCACAGTGTTTGGTCTTAGCGACGAGGTTCTTCGTATACGTCTACGATAGGCATGGCTGAAACGACATTTATTAAAAACGAACCCGAAGATCAGGGTAGTAACCCACATCAATTTTTGATGTCGGGCTCCGCATTTGGGATGCCTAGTCCCGGCTTCGGATCTAATTTCGGAAACTCGGCGGCTAATGATGGCATCGATCCTTCCGAACTCACAATGCAGAATGGAGGTTTCATGTCTTATCCGTTCAACTCCCAGCAAAACTTGTCATCCAGTTTCAACCTCGGGAACTCCAGCATTGACACCGCAGAACTCTTGGATCTG